ATAGTAGTGTGCATCAGAGGTTGATTTTGGAATCTTTGAATCAGAAGGTTCATTACCCAACGTCGCAGTCATTGCATGCTTGTGAGAGAGAGAGAGAGAGAGAGAGAGAGAGAGAGAGAGAGAGAGAGAGAGAGAGAGAGAGACGGGGAGATGAAGACACTGAACTGTGTGCTTCGAACAATCACTTAACAAAACATGGTCTGTTATTTATGACACACAAATGTACAATCCCTTCTAATGGTCATCTTTGTGTATTTGGTCCTTGAGCGATTATGTTATGAAAAAAAAAACAGCAACCGTAGTTGTCCTCAATGCAAGGTTGGGTTGTGCATGCCACTATCTCTCTCATGCTCACATGTTGCTAGAATTGTGTCACGCAGTGGTGAACCGTGTTTGTTGCAGGGAAGGTCACGATTTAACTGAGGCTTCCACACGTGTGGCCACATACAGAATGAAGCAACAACAATCCTACGGACTCAAAAGGAAGGTTGGCTACTGCGTGCCACTCTCTCTCAAACATAGCCATATCGGTATTTTTTTTGCCCGCAGTAGTGAACCGAGCTTCTAGTCTGGCAGCTCAGCATGTAATTGACATTCCCTTACATAGATATCACCAGAATGAAATACCGCCATCTGGCACCAAAAGAAAACAACCGTTCACTACTGCGTGACACTTTCTCTCAAACACAGCCATGTGGACAATTTTGTGTCACGCAGTAGTGAACCCCTCTCTCTCTCTCTCTCTCTCTCTCTCTCTCTCTCTCTCTCTCTCTCTCATTTCAGTCATTGCTTTTGTTGCATGCGAAGTCCGCCAGAAGACCCAACACATGACATTTGCGAAATTGCATAGCAAATCGTCCAGCACGAGAAAAGGACGGGAACAAACCGCGAAAACCCACGACATGAGCACTGCGAAACGAATTTCCCCCCCCATACATAACGCGGACCATACACGAAAGGTGAAACGTTTTCAGCATGTTTCAACAAGCTTTCAACACAGTTCAACAAGTTTTCAACAAGTTTTAACACGTTTTCAACACGTTTCAACAAGCTCTCAACAACTCTTCAACAATTTTTCAACGAGTTTTCAACAATTGTTCAACAGTTGGACCAACATCATTTCAACAGTTGGATCAACAGATGAACACTCCAGTTTCAGTTTTTCCAATATTTGGTCAGCGTTGGTTTCCTTGACTTCTGGTAGAACACACGATCCCCCACCCGCCAAACAGTTTATAAACACAGTTCCAACGGTTGAAATATAGTGTTCACATATGTTCATCAAGGCCAAAAATTTGCCACAATTTTTCTGTTGACATCCATCGAGGTCTTTCAGAGGTACTCCCTTCTTAGTGATGAACTGGCTCTCAGGAAAGACGAGGTGGAGCAGCTGAATGCCCAACTCGCAGAGGAGAGGCCGAGAACAAGGCCACGCAAACTCGCCTGGAGGCAAAGGAGGCTGAGTGGGAGGCAAAGCTCAAGGAAATGGCGACCGTAGTAGAAAGACTTGCCGCTACCAAGGTAATCGACTGGACTGAGCAGAGCAGGTGCGGCATCCAAGGCAAGGGGGTGCAAGGGCTGTTTGGTCAAGAGGAGGCAGCAGAGGCATCTCGGCAAGAAAAATTGGGAAAGGTATTTCTGGATCCGGATGAGGCAGAGACAAGAAAGAAAGCCAACAAGGGATGCTTTGAGTTCAAGGCTCCCACTGAGCTGGCTTCGCAGCAGGAGGCCCCTACTTCGCCAAGTCCCCCCATGGAGGCGCTGACCCAAGAACCCCAACCTGCACCAGAAGAAGAGGGGGCGGTTGAGGAGTCACTGGCGATCCTGCTAGACGCACAGGAGGGGACTCTCACTGGAGCGATGAAGCCTCCACAGTTTGAGGCGCAGGGGAAGGGGCCGTCACATCTGGATGAGTTGGTAGCTGCTATGAAGGTGGATATGCCAACGAAGGAGCCTCAGGAGCAGAGAACCCCGGAGCACGAACCAGAGATGGGGGAATTGAGGGCACAGCTGGGCTCATGGGCCATTTGGACCGATTCGGGGGGGCCGACTACTGATCAGCGGCAGCAGGAGGCCACGAGCCAGCCTACTAGGGCCGCTACCCCCCAGACTCCGAGGCCTCGCGAGGGTGAGGAAGCAGCTTTGGCAGGGAAAACCCGCGAGGGCAGGCCGCTGAGGCTGGATACCCCTGAGTTCCGACCCGAAGAAGAGATGCAGCCAGGGGAGTCAAGTGCCGAGGGAATCGAAGGAGGAGATGAGGGGCCATGGCACCTGCCTCAGAGTCATGAAGTGGGCAAGGAGACAAGAGGAACACCTCTGTTGTCAGGGACCCAGAAAAAGAAGAAGAGATTTCAAAGGAAATCGGGGGCTACGTGTTTCGATTTTCTGGACGGAGTGCATAGGGCCCTGGACTGTCCTAAGTTCCTCAAGAACAAGGTTGAGTGGCGGGTTAATGAGGAAGATGGCAAGATGTATGATAAACAGGGCCGAGTGGTAGAGAGGGCTCCCGATGGGGCAAAGCCCAGCTACATAGGCAAAACCAGGAGGAGATGAGTGAGTAGGGACTAGTTCGCCTATACGCCAGCTGAGTAGGGGTGAGATGTTTTATGTACATAGAAAGAGTGAGTTAGGGGTGTAGGGTATCATGAGTCAGATACGTGTGTCTTAGGGTGTTGCGTGCGACAAAGGACCAATGTACAATAAGGTTTTGAGGTTTTTTTCGCATTGTGATCCAAGGACTGAGACTTAGCTGTGTGATATTTAGGACACCTAATTGTATTGCGTTTTGTTTTGAGGTCAAAGTCTACCTATGGGTGATGTGAGAGTTAGTAACGCTTAGGGTATGAACCCACTGGATATGAGAGGGGACATAACACTTGAGTATCGGTACTGAGGTTTGAGAGGTACTCTATTGTTGAGTATATACTGAGTTGAGACTTTGTGACTACTCCCTGTGTATGTGTGGCTTTCTGATGTATGATGATTTGTGTGGGATTTGTGTGACAAACAGCTCATATGCTTATGTCTTGTGAGTGAATGTAAAAACTGTCTACTCTTCGGCATACTTGTGCGACCTGCCCATGGGCAGATGCTAGAGCCAAGTATAAGGAGAAGGAGCGCAGTCTGTCTTGGGAAGGAGAGTTGTAAAAATCCTAAAGGGTCTATGAGTCCATAGGACTCGAAAGCTTATCATGCCAAATGCTTACGTATCCAAGCTATGTTGGGGACCCATAAGTTAGCCTCCTGTTCCATATTGTTGTTATAGTTGGGTTATACCCTACATTATCTGGGAGACTTACCCTCAGGAAAGGAAAATGTGTTACATAGGTAATGTGAGAGCCCATCCCAGAAAGAAAGGGATGGCTGGGGGACCTATTGAGTGGGACCTCCCTCATAGGGGGATGATTAATGGATTTAATGGCATGAAAAGCTAGGTTGGTAAGATGAAAGCGTCACGAAAGGAACCAGGTTTTATTGGCCACTCGGTGAAATTTCTTGAGAATGTCGCAAAAGTGTTTGATTTTGAGAGGTATCGTTGAGATGTGTGACCCTCTTACCCTGATCAGGTTGGAGATCGCGGCCTAGTGGGTCTAGCGGTGCTTTTGTTTGTGAATGTGGAGAGGTTGCTATGTTTCCTCTATGTTGTCCCATGGGGGACTGGTAAATACCTTTCGTGTGCGACAGGCCCAGGTGCAGTTTTGCAATAGGCCTGTATTGTTGCAACGCACAGTCCGACCGCTTGTGCTAATCTCAAGGCACATAAGGAAGACCAAGCTAAACGGTAAAGTTTTAGCACCACTAGGGCGCAACCCCTAGGGATGGCCGCGGACCGGCACAACCTGGCCGCGGGCCCACGTCTGGCCACGGGGGTAAAGGCTTAAAGGGTGTGGCCGCCTGGGAAGGTTTTACCCCTATGGAATGACCTGGGATAGTGGTCGAGTCATATGAGTCTTTTTTGGGAAGTCCTGATCGAGTGCTTATCAAGAAAAAGCCTATCGTGGCGCAACCTGCGAGGGCACTACCGCCGAAATAACAACGCGGTAGGCCGTACATCTGGCTCGATCGCCTAGACTATGGTGGGCCAAGATGGAGACCTAGCACTTCCGTACTAGACTGCAGAGGCGGCTGAGAGAAAGTTGAGGACGCACATAATTATGTGTCTAATTGTGGGGAGTTTTTTTTAATGGAAGGCAAAAGCCTTCACAGGTCTCGGTTAGGGCCCGCGTCCCTAGTTATGACCCTGCTTACCAGGTAAGGGCTGGGGACACCCAACGAGAGGCCGGTGCTTGTCTAAGACAAAGGGACGAGGACGGGTATGAGGGCCTTTGAAATTTACGTTGTAGTACCAATGCGCAGTACACCAGTGTCCTAGTGTCACGACAATGGAGACCCAGGTTGAAACCCTAGCAGCATAAAGTTGTGTGGGCATGGACCGCTGGGGGCCTCGAACCTGAGTCTGTCGGCCGATCGGATTGGTTCCTTCTCGTCAACACTTTTTTTTTATGTGGATGCCGTGAACCTGAGTCTGTCGGCCGATCGGATTGGTTCCTTCTCGTCAACACTTTTTTTTGTGTGGATGGATTGATAGCTTTTGATCCTGCGAAGCGACGGGGACGTCGCTTAATATAGTCCATTAGGCTGTCGGCGCGAATACCCTTGTAAGGGTATCCGCCCTGGTTTTTGCAAGTAACATCGGGGCCGATGGTCCAGGCCTGTGTGTTTAAACGACTACCTGCATATGGGCGAGGGTCATCTAGATAGGTAGGATAGGAAGGCAAGCGATTTCAAGGCGCGCGTGTGATTATGCCCCTTTAATTGCACGAACGACATAGGCGTCCAGCTCGACCCCTCACCTGTGATTAGACTGGGAGTCAGGGGGCGGATCCCCGTTTGCCGTGATGACCAGCTGCAGGATTGGTACGTGGGGTGGTACGCCGGGCGGCATGGTTGCGCAACGGCCGTGCGCTTGTCTATAGGCAGGAAGGAGCCTGCAGGCATGTCCCAGCCTTAGGCGCCGGGCTGCACCACTTTATATGGGATACAACGCCCATTAATCCCAAGCTGGGGCTTAGTCCTGTGGGTAACGGTGCAGGGCTATTGCCAGGGAGGTTCGGGGTACGAGACCAGCAGGCGGCAGCGCGGGAGCAGCGGAGCAGGCTTTTGCTGATGGGGGCAACGACGGGCCCGGCCTATGGGAAGACCCGACGTAATAGGCTTGCATTTTTTATTTTTGTGTTTATTATTATTTTTATTTTTATCCTTTTTTGGGGCCTGACATACAGGCCGCGGTCGACACAGTTGAAGAAGAGGTGTGCAGTGACCCTCCGCCTGTGGTAGGCCTGCGGGATGCTGCCCAGGGGTGAGTCGTTCGGGACATCCGTGAGAGTTGGAACGTTACAGAGGGGATCGGCGTGACCCCTGTGTATAGGCGATGTCGTGGGTCGGGGAGTGAACCTAGCACTGATCAAGGCCATGTGTTGATAAGGGATAGGGACGAAAGTTGGCTAAGCTAGCCTGCGGGCTACGCTATCAAGGGCCGCATTGACTCACAGGGGAGCGGCGTCGATCTGAGCATGGGCTAACGGGCATCGCAGGAAAGGGGCGAAAGCGGGAGATTCGATAAAACCGGTCATTGGCCGGTCTTCGCGTTGTTTCTGCGTATGTGTCCTCCAGCGCGTCGAAAGCGGCAAGCAGTATGGGCGTACGCGAGGATGAGCGGGGCGCTGCGTTAGGCCAGCGGCCGTTGACGACAACACTAGCCGAGGGGCGGAGATGGTGGAGGGGGAGACGAGTGTGGTCAAGTGTGCCTAGCAGCCTCGATCTTGAGCAGGAGCAAGCGAAGGAGGAGGCCATCTCGGGGTTTTAGCCTCGGGCGAGCACAGTAGTAGTGCTAGCCTTAGCAATAGAGTTGCGGGATAGCGGTTGGTAAGAAGATGAGCCGCACGAGGGTGTCGTAAAGAAAGGGCGATGGAGGCTTGGGTGTATCCTCGTCGGCTCTCGACGGCTTGGGCGAGCCGAGTAGCTTAGCCAGGGGCTTACGAGTGTCGCGCGTTCAATGGGGAGTTCCGATCGATGAAGAGGGGGACGCGCTGTACGGTCCAGCTAGCGGGCGCCACGCACAGGAGGAGTAAACTCGGAAATGACAATGTATCTTTCTCTGTTCTAGCGAAAGATTCATTTAGTTTTGCTCACCCCTTTCGACAGCAGTAGCAGGGGTGCGAGCCGACAGGTAGGAGGCTTACCTGCTGGCCCGAACGTCGCTCATCCCATCGATAGGAGTAGCCTCTCTCTATCTCTTTGTAAGCATTGCCTGTAAGCAGCATAACCTCCCGCAATCTGGCGGAAGGTTCACTCTAAATTTGCTCAAAAATAGAAAGGAGCGCCGAACAGCGAAGGACCGACTGTGGGGTCGGAGTAATTACCTCGCTCCAACTGCTGCTCGCCCTCGTATCCATCCTCGTGCTGACATCGAATCTGGACATACTGGCTTGGCCCTGCAGTAGTCTGGCCCAAGCTACGACCAGATTCGTCGTAGTTGTACTGGGGGCAGGTAAGGCAGGGATGGAGGAAGGAACTCGAGGACCACGAAGGGAGAGTGAGAGGGTACGTACCTGCTCGTGACGATTATGTACCATCCCTTGGTCGGGCGGGGGGTTCATTCGAGTTGCTGAGTTCACCTATAGAGGTTGCGTAAGGCAAGCAGTCGGGCTGGAGGCTAGCTGGGAGCCCCGAGGGGGGGGGGCAGTCCAAACTACGGAACGAAGTAGCAGGAGGAGGGGGTCGGCTACGGGGTTGCAAGTTTGCCAGAGGCGGGTTCACTGTTTATTCTGAGGTGAGGCCACAGGAGGCACTTGCACGGCTGCGGACTTACTGCCTGGCCAATGCGCTGCTCATGTTGACTGAACGAAGCGGTGGCAGCAAACGGCGAGGATCGAAGGCTCAGGAGCCGGCTGGTGCGTTGCCTCTTTTGCCGTGAGGAGATGTATGAACTCAGCGGCGCGGCCGTCTGCTACCCTGTAAGCTACACAGTTCCCCGAAGGGGCCCCGAAGGGGTGAGCGGAGTAGGGGAAAGCAGGCTGAGGCGCTGGCCTTCTTATCGGACTGAAGAAGCGGGTGGCCGGAGCTAAGCTGCAGGTGGCCAGCACCGTCACACACTCGTTTGGTTTTGCACGGCAATTACTGTCGACCATGGTTTGCTATTGACTGCGCTACCGCGGCTCACTACTGCGCTGGGCTTGCAGCTATGCCGTTATCATTGCCTACCGCGCATATTGGCCGTTTCGATCAACTATGACGGCTGCTGGTTGCAGGCCATCGCTGTGGCCGTGATCCTTAAGAGGTTTGCTGATACAGTGTTGCTGCTGCCCTCTGCTACGAATGGGGTTGTTGGTAAAAGGTGTTGCTGGGACACTTGCTAAAGATGCCATGAACTGCTGCTGACTGTCGTTGACTACCACGGGCCAGTTGCGAATTGCTGCGGGAGGTGTCGTGGGGGCTGCAGTGCGCCACAGCGACTGGGTGCTGCTCCAATTGCGACGAACTTTGCAGATTCAGACTGCGTTTCTGACCCGGCACCTACCGGAG